TTTTTTTTTTAAGTCTGAGTCTGTTGAACAGGCTTCCTGGAATAGAAACTTGGTCTGAGTGCAGCGTGTAATGTCTGATCTTTGTGATCTGCAGAACACATGGATGAAGTCAGCGAGCCCGTCGGACGCCTCGAAAAAGCAATTCAGAGAAATGCGAATCACGAAGGTGGACAGAGTGTCGCAGTCGGAGTTGGAGCCGGAGTGGGTTGTGTCCTTGTTCTTGCTGTTGTTGTTGGTTTGTTGGTGTGTAAAAGAAAACGGCCATCCTCACCGACTTGCAACGAAGCCCCGAAAAAGAAAAGGGGATCAGAAGAGATGATTTGAAAACCTGAATGTGAAACACTGAGAATCCTGGCTACGTGTATATAACAGTGTGATTCCACTTCTCAGAAAAGGGGACCATGAATATTTCTCTGCTGTGAGAAACTAAAAAAGCAGATGCAGGTCATGAGACTGTCCACAAATATGTAGCATTAAGCACTTTATTCCTGTGAAACTGACCACTAATCAATTTAACAATGACAGAGCAAGTTTTATTTTTGTGTTGATTGAGAATGAAACCTCTTTCTCTTTAAACTGTGGAGACTGGAGGTTCGACTCCATGGGTTTGTGGGATTTTGATCACATGTCAGTAACCATGACTACGGCACGTGAACATGAGGATTTGGGGTTTAGCGTGTCTTGTGTTTAGGTCTAAGCCAGAGATCTTTTTTTTTATATATATTACTCAGATATATGTACACATCTCCCTTTTAATACTAATGACATGTGTAACACTGACTTTTAATAAGAGTTCTCTTGTAATGTGAAGATTTTCTGTAGCTTTCTCATGTTCATGTTGATCTTTCACTTTTGTTTCTTGGCAATGGCCACAGATTTAACCCCTACGTGTACAGCATTATGTTCTGATGTTAATAAAACACTTCAATCAGCTGGTTTGGTTTGGACGGAGTTTGTTTCATGATGATAAAAGGCGTCGGTACAACGTGAAATAACTAAAACTGGTCAGAGAATGAATGTTTGTCGCTGTGGGCGGTGCTGGGGGAGGGCAGGATCGCTGTGTGTCTGAAACAGGAATGCAAACAGCTGCACAATAACACAGCAGGAAGTCTGTGCTGGAAGAGCTTTCGTTCTTCCTTGTGTCAGAGCAGAAGGAATAATGGGTAATCAGATTACTCTGCAGGTGTGGCCTGGAAACGCTGTGTTGTGGAACAAAGTTGTTGTGGCGTTGGCTTTTTTTCCAACATCTGGAAACGATGAATTCAGCTCCACAGTTTGAATATGCAAGAAGAAGAACAGCTGGAATCCCCCAAATATGTTTTCTTCTCCTGAGGGTCAATGATTTAACTCTGGCAATAAACAAATACAAGAAGTTATTGTGCTCATGTCAGCCGACTGTAATTGCGGGGCCAGGACCGCCACCTGCTGGCTGCTTTTAGTCACTGCTCATCACTAAGAGAAAGCTGTGTGATCCTCATCAAATACATTAAAATACCTTTAAAACTTTTAAGGTAAATGATTGAGTCATTGCAGTTTGGCTTCTCTGCACTGTGTCATTCACAGATGTGCTGTTACCTTCAGTGTATGAGAGAGGTGTGGAGAAGCAGCTGGATTATTCAAATGCACTGCCACACCTTTAAACGGTTCTGTGTTTTTAAAGAATGAAAAACAAGACCTG